GCGTGATTCAGTAGACTACTCAGTCGAGCAAGTTCGCAAACATTCCAGGCAGTGCCTCGCACTGTGATCAAAATTAAATTGTAATTTCAGACCAGCCAAAATTATTTCGGTATACAAAACCGATAAAAATTGTTTTCTGAAGTTACAAAATAATTCGAGTAGTCAAAGCAATAATGCTCAAGCTATTTCAAATGATTTACTTCTTTTCTTTACTCTATTTCTTCCTTCCTTTCTTTCCTTCTTTCCCTTTTCCCCTTAAACATGTTTTTTATCTGGGTAGCCAGACCTGACAGACTATCAGACCAACGAGACTTTTAACTAAGAGGAAAGGTCCACCGGACCGCTCTGACTAATAATGACGAATAGTATTGTAGTATGACTTTGAGTCTCATGTCTCCTTCGGAGCTACCGGAAGCTAGTTATGGCTTCTTTCTTGCGTAAGCGCAGGAAAGGTGGTACAGTCACAATGTACCACCTTTTCTGGGCGGTTATAATGTGCTCAATCGTTAATTGTTATAACTCGGAATGTCCAATCAGACGCAAATGTATCTATTTTATGACTGTCCAATTAGCAAAACAGCAATATTTCCCACGGGCATTGACTAGAGCGGAGCCCCGTCGTGAATACATATGAAATAATTAACGTGGTTGTCACACAAAAACTGAGCCTGTTTGCCTGGGCCGGCTTGCTGGGACTATGGGCGTTTTGATTGATGCATGGCGAGATGGCGTGATGCTCGTAATGCTCCCGCTGGCTGCTTTGTCGGCTATGCCTCCCTTATGATTGTTCTAATATTCTGACAGGGGCGGTACACAGAGGACGTTACGTTTGATCACATTTGCATAGGAAATTAATCGAAGAGAAGGGTGAATACCTATCAGCAGTTTGTCGAAAAACATCTATTCTTAATTAAGTTTCAATTTATCTGTCATCCCTAGTGTATTGACACATTGCTATAAAATTTACATACCTGGTTGAGAAGGGGATATAGTGTGCGACCTTCTTAAATGAAATATAGAGGGAAAACCAAATTTGTCTGACGGCTTGAGTTCAATGTGTTCGAGAGAGAAGCGCGAGAACACATCTTAGAAAGAGATAGAAGCCGGCTGAAGAGCCAAGGTCATCACCGCATTGCCTAGCAACGGCGACGCAGAAGGTCGTGCAATCCGTCGCGTTGTCAATATGTTACACCAGAAAATGATCGCACAGGATTCTACTACAGAGTTTTCTTCTACAATAGCTTATTTTACTGTCAAACCCAAGAAGGAGGTCTGATCGAACATTTAACATTTTATTTTCATTTTGATTAGAATTATTTATTTCAATTTTCATACGACTTTTTTAATTTGCTTTAGAATTATCTTTGATACCCACCGATGGTGATGAAATCAGTACATCCCGAGTTATTGTAACACAGCAAGCGGTCGAAAAATGTAACAAATACCATTACGCAGGTAACAACCATTTCGAAACAGCATGACAGTCCCCAATGAGCGCTAGATGGTTACCGACCAAAATCGCTCAGATACCTACAGGGTGTCCGCAAAGTTGGGGTTGGCCTTTTCAGAAACAACTACCCTTGAAATAACAAAGGTAATGTGTAGTGAAACGAGGGCGACCAAGTAAAAAAAAATAAAGTACTCACTCTCCAGTTGACGAGAAGGGCTAAGTACGTCTCTGCCCGAAATCATACCGCTCCAACAGAAAATGTTATCAGCTGATGCGGTACCGAGCAGACGCCGGCGGTGGTGCAGACCACGAACATAGGTAACAAATATGACGGCGTTGCCGCTTTTTCAGTTTTTATGTAAACGTACTTTATAGGTATTGTTCGAAGTTATCACCGTTTGATCCAAAAACACAGGTGCGTGCACGACGTAGCCAAGCATCGGTGCAGGCTTTGAGAATGGAGTCCCTCCCCCAAATGAAAGCACCAGCTTGTTCAATTCTGAGACGAAGTTCCTCAACCGTATGCACTTCAGTTTTGTACACTAAGCGTTGCATTTCTCCCCAAAGAAAAAAATCACATGGTGTTAAGTCTGGAGATCGCGGAGTCCACGCTACGGGTCCATTACGTCCAATCCACCTATTCGGAAATAATTCATTCAAAACGTCACGCACTTCGCGTCTAAAATGGGGCGGTGCACCAACGTGCAGAAACCACATTGATTGTCTTACACTCAATGGCACATCTAACAAGGAAGGCAAAATGTTGCGTAAAAAGTCTAGGTATTGCATCCCGTCCAACCGATTTGGGAGAATAAATGGGCCAATGAGCATACCGTTCACCATGCCAGCCCAAACATTCACCGAAAATGTTTGTTGAAAATCTGCCCGACGGACAGCGTGCGGATTTTCTACTGACCAAACATGAGAGTTGCGAAAGTTATTCACCCCATTACACGTGAACGTCACCAATATGCACTTCAAAAAGTCCGGATTATTGTCTTGTTGATGCAACAACCACTCACAAAACCGCACTCTTGCTGGAAAATCGTCAGGTTGAAGGGCTTGTACACGTTGGACGTGAAACGGATACAGCCCCTCTTCACGCAGCGTTTGCCACACTTTAGTTTTTGATACTTGCACGGGTTCGTTTACCTCTACACGCGTGACCGTAACCGTCGGTTGAAAGTTGCATACTGACCTGACACACTGACCCCGACCCAGTTCTGTCGTCGGGTTGAGCCAGTGACCTTGTACCACTCGGTGATGTCGCGGGTCGCGGCTACAGGACGGTATTCAGATATTTTTGATGTTGCAGAGCCGTTTATCTCGGTTCTCTTAAGACATTGGTGTATATGGTACTTTGCGGACACCCTGTATAATCATGGAGGTGGAAACTTTGCCTTGAAATGTACGAGATGAGGTGTTGCCAGGCAAACCAATAGTGCGATGTTGCAGAATTTGTGGAAAACCTGACCTTTAGGCCTTTAGGACAGCTCCGGAATCGATCCTAAACAGATTACGTTATAAACAAAACCATTATTTGGGCGTAGAGAATAAACTAACGCGTATTTTCAACATGCATCTTGATTTAAGGAACTGGTGTAACATATTGGCAACGCGGCAGATTGCGCTATCAAACCGGTTTCTATCCCTTTCTAACATACATATGTGTCGACACAAATTTCTCTCTCGTACACATGTAGCTCAAGCTGTCAGATAAATGTGGTTCTTAGTGTACGTTGAATTCTTTCACTACTAACACTATACGAGTATATCAGAAGATTTATGATTTTACCCCACGATCATGACGTTTCCAACTCATTTTACAAATACCTTGAAATATCTTGTAGCTTGGCGCGAAAATAACAAGCTCAAATTGATGAATGCAACAGACCATGGATTTGGTGTGGACTGGCAAATCCAAGGTAAATAAGGTACAAACGTTTTCTTTTTCTTAGCTTTGAAAGCCGTTTTCAAAGACTATGTCGATTGCTGTAGAGCTCAAGAAGGAGAACTACATGAGGAGCTATACTTAAAAGTACGATCATGTGGGGAATATTCTAACAAGGGGCACATTATAACATCAAGATTAGTTCTGTCGATTTCTAGTTGTCTATAGTGTATCTTGTGTTGCCATCATAAAGTACTGCCACCGGACGTGAAATTACTCGGCGAATAGAAGAATGTTTTTTGTAACACAAACGTGAAACATTTGACAAGGGAAGTTTTGTTTTTGTTGAAAAACTAATACCCCCTGCTGGGTAAATATAAATATATTTCGTTTAATCTTCAATTAATTGGTATTTAAATAGTAAACACAGTTTACGAATTTCTCTTTTAAAGAATAGGGTGTATGATACACTGCAATGGAGTACATTGTAACATGTAATAGTGCGCCCTCTTAGATTATTTTTTTTTGTGTGTGTGGTACAACAAACAAAACGTTAGGCTGATTGCTATGCATTCGCAGAAAAAATACTAAGGAGCTTTAATGTATGTTCAGAAAAGGTAATTTTTTCATATTCTACATTTTTGTTTGATTTTGATTACTAAATATATGTAATGGAACATCATTGAGGTTAAAGGTTTCTATTTTTCATATTTTATTTCATTGATGTATGGTTAGTCTACCCTTATAGTGCACTCCATCTTGTTATATTGTACCCCTATGGCTGTTAAGCTGTACCCAACCCCTGGGGCACGCTCTTACAAATGCTGGGTCTCCGAAAACTAAAAAAAATGAGTAGTTTCTAAATATATTTTTGGTAATATTTCAAACCTAATAAAAAGGTTAAATACTGCTGATTTTATGGTGAAAACGAAGAAGAAAATATAATGGATGTTTTTTTTTCTAGAAATAAAAATGACTTTTTTGTTATACTATCCCTCACTTAATGCTACTTATATCTCAATCGTTCTAAAATGTAGGCTGTTTCTAAAAATGAGATGTAGCATATCATAGGAGGGAACATTGTTGCAGAACTTCATGATGTAATTTCCTTAGGTCGAGGATTCATTTCAATAAACACGATAAATCGCATCAAAATGTCAAGATACATAGCGATTGCGCATAAAGAATACTAATTATTGGTCCTAACCTAAATGATACAAATGAGTGAGTAATTGTCGATGTCTCTATGATTACACCGATGAGGTATCTGACTAGTGCTCACGTCATGGGGACTGAGGTGACTAGGCGAGGATTTCAAATTCTGGTTCGTTTCAAAATGAAATACTTTTTTTTACTGCTAGACCACGATACAAAGAAATCTACTCCTTGATTGGAATAATATTCAACCAAGGTTATAATCTTAAGTAAATTTGTACCCTCCAATCAAGATCTGTTTTGTGTTCATAGTTACATAAGTCCACTTTTTTACAGAACCCTTAAATGTTTGTATTACTTCGTTGTAACAGTTTAGATTCATATAGGAGGACAGAAAGGTAAAAAAGGATAAAAAACAGTCTGGTCCAATCAAATGGTGTACAAGATTGACCCACTATCCGCAAACAGCAGCTCCGATGACTTCTTTCAATAGAAAAATCGCCTCTACGACATCACTTCCGCATGGTCTGGTGGAAATGTAGGCCATCTTATTTCCACAGCGGGATAAATCGTATTGCTATCTGTCAGAGGCGTAACATGTTTTCGCAGAGCTCTGTCGGTATGTTGAGTAATCAAAGGTAGCACCTGTGACAAACCAACATTTATTAAAATTCTTGAATTTTTTACGTATTCTATGAAATATGAATGGTGTCTTCTACCCGTGCACGGTTCTTCCTGTATAAGCCCATCGCAATACACATCAGTTATGGAGTGCTAATAGAATAGAATCATAATTGATAAGTCACTGTATACTCGTGTCTTCAAACAGCAAACTACAGAAATTAAAATTAGATTACTTATACACAACACAACCAAAAGGGGTTATGACGTGTTTCTTGTTTGGGTAAAGGGCCATACGAGAATGCTACGAAACGAGAGCTGTCACTTACAGAGCGTGCATCAATTATACATAATTGAAGACATCTTTGTTTGATATAAAAACAAATTGATGGTAGATTGAGAAAGACTTGCTTACTTATACAGTATAGGTTTAAAAAACTCTGCCCTTTGTGATGATGACGGACGGATCCTAATTGAAAAATTTCTTGAAAAGGGTTTAGAACTACCAATAAACCTGCCCTCCGTATTGATCTTAGGAGGAAAACCGATTTATGATCTGTTCATTGAATTTCTATACATACTCGTACTTTGTGGCTAATGAACTAATGTTCAGTACCTCCTCAAAAAAAAAGAACACAAAGTTCAACAATCAGACCCGTGAGTTGTTGTCATGCGTTTTACCTATGTGCGAATACAGTCACCAAAAAACTATATTCTCCTAATAAAGAGAAAAGAAAAGTGTAACAATAGAAACAAAATCAAGTGCATTAGAAAATAACACTAATGAAAAGATAAATATGGCATTAGGTTCAAGTACTTATGCTATAGATCGTAACGGGTGACTTTTTAAGCGGTATAGGATTTGATTTTCAAAAAAACACAAAAAATTTGAAAAAAACGATTAAATCTCTATTTGAGTCGATAGAACGGTCGATATAATTTAATGTTTAAAGATTATTTCATGTAAATGTTGGCCGCGGCTCCGCTTTAGATGGCCCATGCGCAAGATCCAATTTTGGCACACTCTCTCCAACATATCGGCCGGTATCGCACGAATAATTGCTTCAATATTGGCTTTGGCTTCCAGTGCGTCAATCGTTGCTGGTTTATCCCTGTAGACATTAGCCTTAACATGGCCCCACAAGAAATCGTCCAACGGCGTTAAATCACACGATCTAGGCGGCCAATTGACGGGCCCCAAACGTGAGATAAACTGTTCACCGAACTCGCCTCTCAATAGGGCCATTGTTTCGTGTGCGATGTGGCATGTGGCACCGTCTTGTTGAAACCACATGTCATCCAAGTCCAGCTCTTCCATTTTGGGCGAAAAAGGTTTGTTATCATCGCACGGTAGCGCTCGCCATTCGCAGTTACGTTCCGGCCATTGTCGTCTTTGAAGAAGTACGGCCCGATGATGCCACCGGCCCATAATCCACACCAAACAGTGATTTTTTCGGGATGCACTGGTAGCTCTTGCAATGCTTCTGGCTGGTCTTCACTCCAGATGCGGCAATTTTGCTTGTTAACGTACCCATTCAACCAGAAATGAGCTTCGTCGCTGAACACAATTTTTCGATAAAAATGTGGATCTTCCTCCAACTTTGCCAGCGCCCATTCACCAAATGGGAAACGTTGTGGGAGGTCGTGTGGCTTCAATTCTTGCACGAGCTGTATCTTATAAGGTTTTACACCCAAATCCTGTCGCAAAATTTTCCATGTAGTGGAGTAAAAGAGGCCCAATTGCTGCGAACGGCGGCGAATCGACATTTCACGGTCATCACTAACACTGGCGGATACAGGCGCAATATTTTCTTCAGTCCTCACTCTACGTCTGCGAGTTGGTGGTTTAATGTCCAATAATGTAAACTGGGTTCGAAATTTAGTCACAAGCTTCCAAATAGCTCCCTCAGTAGGCCGACCAAATTGCCCATAAATTGGAAGCAGTGCTCGATGCACTCTCTTAACCGAGCATGAATTTTGATAGTAAAATTCAATAATTTGCAAGCGTTGTTCGTTCGTAAGTCGATTCATGGTTGAATTATAGACCAAACTGAACAAGTCTGACAATGACACAAGACACGATTCACGCGTCATCTGTCAAAAACAGTGTTGCCAAAAAGATACTAGCAAAAAAATCACCCATTATAATCAGAATACTCACTGAAAGTCAATGTGTGATTTACTGTTTAACTTTGTACAATAAATTACTATTACTATTTGATCACAGGCTGGAAGAGTTTTACCAAGTAAGGACATCTACAACCAACAAGAGTTTGTCTTGCCTAGACGTGAAACGAATCCAGTGGGCACCTCGAGTTCTTCAGCATCATTAATCCGCCTTGCTTACAATAGAAGTGAAGCGTATTTTTTGAAGGCTTCATGACCTTTATTCGAATGAAGGATATATACCGGAAAAAATTTAAAAGACCTCGACTCGACTTACCGAGAGAATTACATTCAGTACCTGATAAAATAACTTTTAGCTCTAGATCCTTTTAAAAGCCCGAAAAAGGTCAAGAAATATGGTAGAAGACTCGCCTTATATGAAGTCGTAACTCTGAAAGTTCTTCGCTGAAATAAAAACGGTGTCTGTTGAGTGTCCAATTCCCCCGTCACTGATCTAAACGAAAACTTCGGTCGCTCGGGTCACGACGCGGCAGGCGCTGATTTCCTCTATGATGGCCATTGTAAATTGGTTCTTCTCGATCTCTGGCGATACAAAACAATTTTTATATCGCTTCGGATTTTCCGTAATGCAGGGATTTACCAAACTGACTATTTATTAAAATTTGTTCGAAATGCTCTGTAGAGATACTCTTTCAGACGTTGGAGGATAACGCTGAGCTTTGGGACTCCTGGAAATTTGATGACGATGTACGAGGTACATTCGGAAAGTGTTGTCAGTTTATTAATAAAGTATAGAAAAGGATGTTGTATTTTGACAGTTTCAGTGTTGGAATGATACGAGGGGCACGCTGTATCTTTTGAGATGCGCATTAACTATACTAGTTAAAACCGGCAACAGTGCACTATTAGAAAGGGCAGTCCTTTATTAGTAATTCAGTTCATTTGCAAGCGTCTTACAGTGCACATGGTGTAAGCAAATTTAAGACGAATCATGGAGGTGTCTCGAGAGAGTTATCACGCTATGATTTACCATGAGCCTTTAACTGAACATTAATGAGTCGAATGGTTACAACAGGCATTTGGTAATGAAGCTCTGTCCCTGGCAAGTGTTTCGCTGGTATGCCAAATTTAAAAGAGGGCGTGTTTCATTGCATGATGAAGGACGTAGTGGTAGGCCATGTTCTAGTGTGACTCCAGAAAACATTGCTAAAGTTCAGCGGCTAATTGAAGAAGATTCTCGCTGCACATATGTGACTATAGAGGCAACTCTTGGGGTAGGATCCGCAACAGTGCACACCATTTTGCATGATCATCTTCATTCAAAAAAAGTTGTTGCTGAGGTACAATCCTGCATCACGACAATGCTTCTAGCCACACTGCCCAACTGACTGTAAGCTTTTTACGCCAGTGCCACATCTAAATGGTAGAACATCCGCGTTATTTGCCAGATTTAGCAATGTGTGATTTCTGGCTCTTCAAGAATTTGTAAAATAAAATATGCGTGGTTGAACATTTTCGTCCGAAGAGGAAATCGATCAAGCAATTAATCAGTTTGTTGAAGACATTCCAAAAACTGACTGGTTAGAAGCATTTCATTTGTGGAAGGTCAGGTTGCATTGATGCTGGAGGAGAATACTTCAAACGTAAATAAACTAGTTTTCAGCTTTCCTGTATCTCAAAATATATAGCGTGGCATTCGTATAGTGCTTTAAAAAAAGGTCTCTATTTGTTTTTTGAATTGTTCGAGTTAGTAAGCTGAAACACGGGGTAATGAAGTTGATACATGAATATTATATCTCAACGTATACGTGACACTTGAAAATTTCAGGATGGCAGCTAGGCGCCAACTTTACACTAAAATATAGCACTCCAGATTTAATTTAATAACCTCAAATTTCACTTTGCTCACTAGACCCGCACGGGTATCATGTAAAAAACCTATAAAACGTAAAAAAAAACCTATAAGATGTCAACTTGCAGACTAGGTAGTTTTTAGGGCGCAAACAGTCATTCCACGTTTGCTCACTAGGATCGTTGTGAACGTTCTCTATGAAGGAATCACTCAACTAAACTACCCATTATTGGTTGCATAGTTTTGTGAGGTCGTTGACTGTAGTTTTTATCTCTGAGAAGAAAATTGGTTGAACAGCAAGATCGCATCTAGATGATTATGTGCATTGGTCTGCATGTGTATAAAAGCAGTGATATTTGCTGTGTGAGAAAATCATTACTGAATATGCCGAATATGACGGGTTATTTATATGTTGTGCTCTCTGAAGAGAGGTTATGTTCAAAGTTATAAATTACGAAAAACTGAGGAGAATTACGAGAAATCATCATCGCGACCGCGTTGTGTGTAATTACTGTTAACATGTATATGGCTTGTAATTGGACAGTGTACAGTGAATATAATTATTTATCTCTCTTATTTTTGAAATTCAGCCAATTTGTATAAGTCATTTCCAGAATGGATAAGAAAACGTGGATGCGCAACTAATTTCTAGCTTTGAATCTCAATTAAGTGTATTTGAGACAAGAACCCAAGGTAATTATCATCAACACATACAACTTACAGCTTAGACCTCCAGTAATGCCATCTCAGAAGCAGATTTTACATCACATCAGAGTCAAAGATTGATAACAAGCCTCATTGCGTTTAGGCAACACGTACAACTAAGTGCTAAGTTAAAATCTTGTAGAATAACCTACATATTGTCAAAAAAACAGCATAATGTCAAAAAAAAATCTGCATAATGTCACTTTTCAAGATACGTGATACCCGTGCCGTTCAAAAAGTAACTATGGGAGCGAGCGCTTTTGTAAGCGCTGTATGTATTTTTAACAGTTTGTCAGGTTTGTCAGTTAATTATATCGAAATCTGATATATAATTCAGGAC